CAATTAAAAAAAAAAGGGGGGGGGGAACAACATACTGTGAAACGAACTAACTAGAACATTTCTTTTTCAGAACTCTTTGAATGTTTATACTTTGTTTTACAAACCTACAGCTAAAACAGAAATACTCTAAAATATTTCATAAAAATGTTATGCTTAACAATTATTAATGTATATTATCTGTACGCAAAAGGGCACCTTTACGTGTACAGCTCAGTGAATGGTTCATCCGTGAAATGAGCACCCAAAACAAGAAAAAGAACTTTACCAGCACCTGAGAAGGCCACCCTATCCTCCTCCTTCCTGACTTCTAACAGCATAGATTAATTTTTAGCAATTTTAGTACTTTACATGAATAGAATCATATAGTATAGACTATGTTGTACTGTACACATTAATTCACATTTATATGGTAAGCAAGTGTAACGGGTTGCTAACAGTATACTAGGATCCCTGGTGGTACAGTGGTTAAGTATCTGGCCACTAACCAAAAGGTCAGTAGTTCAAATCCACTAGCTGCTCCGTAGGATAAAGATACAGCTAATCCGCCTCTGTAAGGACTACAGTCATAGAGACTCTATGAGGCAGTTCTACTCTGTCCTATAGAGTCACTATGCGTCAAAATGGACTCAATGGCAATGGATTTAGGGTTTGGAATAGCATATAAAAACAATGAGGTATGGGGAAAGGTGGTCTATTTGCAGTATTACAACCATTTTATATGAATCTACTGTTTGCTATGAAGTTTTACAGCAATTGTTTAGGCTCTTCCATATGAAATGTGATCACTCATGGTATTGGGGAAAAAATTTGGAAGAACATTTTAAAGGTAATTTTATGTTTTCTGACCTATATAAATATAAACAGATGACAAGAGGGTAGAAATTAGAAATGAAAACTATAGTTTAATATTTTCAACAAATACTGTGTTTCAGAAAGAAAACCATTTAAAATAAGGATTTTAAAACATCTCTCCTTCTCTCTCCCCCAACTTAAGAGTTCTTTACAGATGAATTCCTTTTGTTTTGTGGAAATATAGAATATAATATGATGACTATAAAATCCACATTCTCTGGCTATACTTTATCTGGAACAGCCATAACAATCTTCCACATAATCTACTTTCATGGCAGAAACAGTGACACCAAGAACCTGCCCTTTTAGTGAATTTATGGAAGAACCTCTATTGGCCACTAAAACTACTGTAGTGTCTTTTTACTTAGTTGTTAAGATTCATTTACCACCTGGACTGGACTGATGATAATGTTGAAATGGGAAAGCTACCTACAGTAAACTAGCAATGTATAATAACATCTGATTACTTCTAATCCAAAACACAAAAAGGTTTTCATAGAACCATGAACAGAAATCTAAACAATTATTTCTTCAACTTTTGGGGATTTAAAGAAAGGTAAAAGATGTCCAGAGTCCCTGCATGGCACAATTAATGTGATCAGCTGCTAACCAAAAGGCTGGAGGCTTGAGTACACCCAGGTACTTAGGAAAAAATACCTGGTGATCTATTTCTGAAAATTCAGCCATTGAAAATGTGCAGAGCACACTTCTACTCTGACACACGTAAGTCAGACTCTACCCAATGGCAACTGTTTGAAAAGATGTCCAAAATGCCACTCTCAATGCCATTTGGTATAGAAACACACCAAACCTGACATGCCTGTATCATTCTATATTCTTTATTCATTTTGGGCAAGGCTGTCTGCAGTTATCTACTTGTACTACTTGAACATCATCTTGTACTTATACTTATATCTACTTGACATCATCACTTGTATGGCCCCTTGCCTAAAACTAAAATATGGAACTCAAGAAAGCAGTTACATGGAGAATAAATATAAATTTATTTGATAAATTTTATATTTTTCCATTGTACAAATAATGTTTTGATGTTCTTTGCTTTTACTTCACAAAATCTGTTTTTTGTAGATTTTTATATAGAATCTTTGTTCCTTCACAACGATCTTCACCCTCTAGAAATGATTTCCTAACCCACTTTCCTCTCCAGGATTAATTATGGACAGTAAAGGCAGTGAATGTGCAGTAATATTTTTTATCTATACAACAGAACATGGTCTTAAAGGAATTAAATCACTTTTATTAGGACTCTGGATGTCTTACCTCATAAAAAGCCATAGATTAGTTTTCAAAACACTAAGGTAATATGCATATGACTCTACTGAGAAAGAAATGTGTTTTAGGGTAACTTGCCAAGTAAAAATTAAGGCCCAATTCTGAATTAATTATCCTCATATAAGCATTCTAAGTGAATATTGTAACCCAGCTTGCCCAGAGGGATCTGGTCAATTATTGCCCAATAGTCCTGAGGAGCCATACTAATTATTTAGTAAAATAATTCAGAAAAATAGAATATATCCATCTTAATAATTGGATAGATTTAAGAGATGAGTTGGGCTTCTAACCCATCTTTACCCCCAAGAGGGATATGCAGACTCACCAGAGGAAGATTTCAATATAAATATTGTTTTACTTATCAATGCAAATAAAACCCTACTTCTATCCCGACTCATAGTGACCCTACGTTGTTATGTGCCGTCGAGTCGGACCCAACTCATAGCAACCCCTCCTTGGGTTTCCGAGGAGGTATCACTACGAAAGTAGATTGCCCAGCCTTCCTTTCGAGGAGTGGCTGGTGGGTTTGACACAGCAAAACCTCCCCCTAGGGTTTCCTGGGTTGTAATATTTACAGAAACAGATTGCTACATCTCTCTCCTGCCAAGTGGCTGGTGAGTTCAAACTGCCCACCTTTGGTTAGCAGCCAAGCACTTAGCCACTGAGGTACCAGGGCTCCTTTATTAATTCAAGACTTTTATAAAGTAATATTAAAAAACAGAAGTAGTCTTCATCAACATTTTTTGTCTCTTCACATTGCACCGGTCTGCTCTTACTTATTCTTCATTTTTATCTATTCATTCAAAATTAATAGCACATAAGTATGTGGTTACTGTTCTAGACTCTGACACATTTCTGATACAGTCTAAGTATGACATTCTCTTTCAGTTCTCTCAATTTTAAGATGAACAGTCATCTTCAGTTATTTGCTGTCGATTATCTACTCAGTGGATTATCTGCTGCAAAATTTCCTATCTAGGACCATTTATCCTGTAGAGGCAGAGGCAATTCCTGCCTCCCCTGCCCCAGTGATCTCCCCCCTCTCAACCTAGCCAATTACATGATGTACATACACAGAATCTACGCTCATTTTATTATATGACTGAATTAGGAAATGAATCTACTGTATAAGACATATCTTTCATATTCAAAACTTATACCCTCTTTCCTTGTATTATTTCTACCTTTTCCTAGTGTTAATTTCTCCACTTATGAAAATAATCTAGGATTATTTGTGCAAATTTCCAAATACTGAAAACTAAAGTTAAAAGAAAACAATACCTGCTTATCACGTGACATGAAATCATCTGCTTCCATAGTCCTGTTATTATACAATTTTCCTGATAAATGCACTGAGTAGCTACAGTAGCGATGCAATCCACAAGCCTGGCACGAACAATGTTGAGGGTTCTTCTTCCGAATAATTACATTAGAGTAACTTCCTACCCGCTCCTAAAACAATTAAAAAGAATGGAATGAAGATTTAAAAATAAATAAAACATAAGAAGAATCTAACCAAATCAAAACCTATTTTTAGGAATTACAATAATATGAGATATAACAGCAAAACACACTTCTATTTCCTACTTTAATATTATGCACAGAGGTGTTTGATATGACAATTTAAATAAAAACTAAATTTATAATACAGGTCATTAAATAAGAAGAAAACAGATTAGGAAAAAAATCAGTTTTATATCTCTTACATTCATGAGTTTTTCTAAGTAGTGCTCTTGGTAAGTTTCAATTTACTTCTTTCCCTTCTCCTCATCTCCAGTTAGTGCTAATAAAGTACTGATTGGTTAAAATTAGAATAAAAAGGAGCATCAAAAATTCAGTATAATAATAAAAATTCATTGGCTTTTAGTCAAAAATTCAAAATTTAAGAACATCATCATACTCAGTCTTTATTGTATGGATTATACAACTGTTTCCACTAGATATTCCTCCTATGATTACTTGCTACCTAAAAATCAAACCCATTGCCATCTAGTGAATTCTGACTCATAGCAACCTACAGGACAGAGAACTGCTCCATAAGGTTTTCAAGGCTATAAATCTTTATGGAAGCAGACTGCCTCATCTTTTTTCCGCAGAGCGGCTGGTGGGTTCAAACCACTAACTTTTGGGTTAGCAGATGATTGTTTTAACCACTGTACTGCCAGAGCTCCTTTACCTGCTACAGTCCTATGAAAATAAAGAAGTTGGAAAGAGGACTGTCAGGTGTCCAGAATTGATATGGACAGTTTAGTAGCTGAGTTACCAGTGAGAAAGAAAAGGAAAAAAATATTTTTCATTAATAAATAATCTTTATTAACATGCTGTGAAGTTACTGATGTTTGAATATTTCTATTTACATTCTAGGCCTATGCTAGACATGACTGTTGAAAATGGAGTTAAGTTTTTACCAGAATAGTTAAGTCATGCATAATGAGCCTATTAGCATGGTAACTATTAAAAACTCATTGATACTGAGTTGATCCCAACTCACAGCAACCCTGTAAGACGGAGTAGATAGAACAGTCCCACAGGACTCCCAAGGCTGTCTTTACGGAAGCAAACTGCCACATTTCTCCTGCGGGGCACCTGGTGGGTTTGAACCGCTGACCTTTCAGTTAGCAGCTGAGTGCTTTAACCACTGTACCACCAGGGCACCTATGGTTACTTGTGTGTTCCTTAAAAGGAATATATATTGATTCCCTGTGTTGGTAAATAGCACTGTGATGATGGCAATGAAAAACTGATTTTTTTCTTCCGAATGCAATTCTGAATTTAAATTAAAATTTTAAATTCTTGTTTTAATGTGGCCAGTAATGATGTAATAAAACAAAAACGAAACCCACTGCCATTGAGTTGATTCTGACTCACAGCAACCCCCATTGGGTTTCCAAGGCTATAAATCTTTATGTAAGTACATTGCCTCATCTTCCTCCCCCAGACCAACTGGTGGGTTTGAACCACTGGCCTTCTGGTTAGTAGCCAGATGCCTTACCCCCTATGCTATCACAGCTTCTTAGGATTTAATAAAGCTAGCAAATATTATTTAAGAGTGCCATGAAATATGAGAAATATGGACAGACAAAAGGCAATGTTGTGAATCATATGATGTAAAAAAGAAAATCAATCAGTATATTGTACACTTAATTAGCATCTATGGATTAATGGATTAGTAACCAGTCAATATTAAAGTAGGAAATACAGTGTGGTTTGCTCTTACATCTCTTTCTATTATTTTTCCTAAGATAGGTTTGAATTTGGTTTGGTTCTTTTTGGTTAGTTTTTCTTTTTTTTTTCCAATGGTTATTATTAGTGGTTACTAATCCATTAATCCATAGATACTAATCAAGTATTCATTCAATATACTGATTGGTTTCCTTTCTGTATATGATTCCCAACATTGTCTTTTGTCTACCCTTCCTATTTCTCGTATTTCATGGCACTCTTTCAAGAAATAATGTTTCTCAGCTTTATTAAATCATACTGGCCACAATAAAACAAGAATTTAAAATTTTAATTTAAATACAAAATTCCATTAGGGACAAAAAAGTCAGGTTTTCATTGGCATCATCCCAGTGCTATTTACCAGCAAAGGGAATCAATATATGCTCCTTTTAAGGGGCACACAAGAGCCTTCCAGTATCTGTATAAATGGCTTCCTTTGGAAATACACATAAACTCACACTCTGAATACTCTGAATCATGAGGTATCTTTTGATGAAATAATTCAAATGCATATTCTCTCATAGGGGAAAAGGAAGGACAATTAAAAAAAAGCCTCTAAGTTCTCCTTATGAAGGTTGTAGTTTAGATACGCTATTTTTTCTGAGGAAAGACTTATCTCTTTTATTTATTTATTATTGTAATTTGGGTGAAAGTTTAGAGTGAATTCACCTCCATACAGCAGTTCATATACACTTTGTCTCATGACACTGACTACAATTTACCACAATGCAACAGCTCCCCTTCCAATTCTTCCCCATAGTTACCTCTTCCCTGTGTCCTTCCCTCCATGCACTCCTGCCCCATGAGCTGTCTCCTTGTGCATACACAGCCCTTCTATTCTCCCATTATTGTTCTCTCCAAGGAGTGTATCTACCTAATGTATGTTCACCTCAGATGTTTGTCTTTACTGGAAGCCACAAGAGTGGGTTCAATTCCAGACCTGATGGGCAGCTAGGGGCCATAGTCTCAGTGGTTCCACCAGCTTTATCACACCAGCAAACCTGGTCCCCCCCCCCTTTCTTTTAATGATTTTGAGTTTTGTTCCACATTGTTCTTCCTCTCTACCAGAATCTCCCCCTCTGAGTGGTTGACAGTGGTAGTCTGGCACCATCTAGTTCTTCTGGTCTCAGAGTCATGCAGGGTGAGGATCACATGGTGTACCAGTTGCTTGACTAATTGTTTCCATGAATCTTTGGTTTTCTTCATTCTTCTTTGCTTTGGATGAGGAGAGACTCATTGTTGCATCCAGATGGCAGCTTACAAGCTTTTCTTTTTTTTTTGGGTGAAAATTTACAGGGCAAATTCACTTTCCATACAGCAGTTCACATACACTTTGTCTCATGACATTGACCACAACTTACCACAATGCAACATCTCCCCTCATCCTTCCTCCCGTTACCTATTCCCCGTTGCTCTGGATGAGGAGAGACTCATTGTTGCATCCAGATGGCAGCTTACAAGCTTTTGTTTTTTTTTGGGGGTGAAAATTTACAGGGCAAATTCACTTTCCATACAGCAGTTCACATACACTTTGTCTCATGACATTGACCACAATTTACCACAATGCAACACCTCCCCTCATCCTTCCTCCTGTTACCTATTCCCTGTGCCCATCCCTCCATGCACTCCTGCCCCTGAGCAGTCTCCCTGTGCATAAGCAGCCCTTCTTTCTCCCATGACTGTTCTCTCCAAGGAGTGTATCTACCTAAGGTAAATGTTCAACTCATGTGCCTGTCTATTGTTTGGCTGGAAGCCACAAGCGTGTGTTCAATTCCAGACCTAAAGGGCAGCTAGGGACCACAGTCTCAGTGGCTCTATCGAGCCAGCAAACCTGGTCTCCTGCCCCCATTTTTTTTTCTCCAAACGACTTTGAGTTTTGTTCCACATTGCTCTCCCTCTCTATCCATGATCTCCTATACAGATCCCCTTCCAAGTGGTTGACAGTAATAGCTGGGCACCATCTAGTTATTCTGGTCTCATAGTTGTATAGGCTGCAGATTGGATGGTGTACCAGTCGCTACGACTGTTTCCATGAATTTTTGGTTTTCTTCATTCTTCTTTCCTCTGGATGAGGAGAGACCCATCGTTGCATCTAGATGGCAGCTTGCAACCTTTTAAGATCTCAGTCGCTACTCACCAAAGTAGTAGGTGGAACAATGTTTTGTGTCGTATGTTATGCCAACTAAGCTTCATGTCTCCTGAGACTATGGTCCGGAGCACACAGGATCAAAGACTCGGTCCCTCTTGGTAGCTGGCTGTGACCAAGCAGTGACTACAACCTTCTCCCTTTTCAGCTCTACTATACACCTGGGAATTCAGATCATAAACATAAACTTAACCATTATCTGCGAACCCTAAACATGTTCTTGGGTACACTCCCCGCTTCAGAGATGTACCTAATAGTGCACCTTGTCCACCCATCTATCCACCCGTACACCCATGTATGCCTTCACTGACAACACCGTACTTTATGTGCAAAAGATTTCATCTTTGTTGTCTGTACTTCCCACATACATCTCTATGTCTTTCTCTTCCTCAATGTCACTATATTGATC